CCCCTTTTGAAAAGCCTTTTTGTTTTTCCCTTTTTTTTTTTTTTTTTTTTTTTTTTTTTTTTTTAAAGCTTGGAGTACTGCTGAACAGTTCTTTAACCAACATAAGACCTCCATGCACAGGACTCACAGAACCCATTCCCGTTCTGAACCATACAAATACAGCTGTGTCAGGAACGACCCACAGAGGCATGCGCAGGGTTTACCCTTCACCCATCTTGTTTTTCTTCTTTTCTCCTCTACTGATTTTTTAAGTTGAAAGGTAACCCAAATATAGAACAGTGCTGTTATAAAGCAAGCACCTTTTCCCACAACTCACCAGAATCTGCCACATATTTTAAAAGTATATTTAAATGAAAATAAAGTTTCTGACAAGATACATATTTCGCCTCTTCAGAGCACCTAGCTACAACCAAGACCCTTAACAGCACCTCTGCAGCCAAACCAGCATTCAAACCTTAATAACGTCTGAGGCAGAAGCATCAGAAAACCTGTGAGTACCACAAGGATAACAGCAACAACCTTAAAAAAGCATCACTTTCAACAACTGTCAAAGGAATTAAAGCAAACGGTCTCCTCCTCAAATATATCTACTGCTCTATCACAGTTCAGCACGCAACACGGAGCACTGAAGAGTTCCCATCAATTACACAGACACCCTGTAGATCTTACAGGATGAAAGGCCGGTTTGCTTTGAAGCTGTTTTATGCCTGACAACAGATGTTTTGATGCTGTAATCCAAAGACAAATTTAAAGTTCACTGGCTCAATCAACTCTCCCTTACTGTCTACGGGTTTGTGACAAACTTAATTAAGATGGGTAGCACTGCAGGCGGAAGGAGTATGGGGGAGGAAATCTTTACACACACGCAACCACCCCTACCTTAATGTCAAGTTTGTGGTTGATAGCCAGTGCAGAATGCTCCAGTGCTTTAATGACAGATGCGTAGGAATCTGAAAACTTGGTGTATTTGCCAACAAGCGCAATGGAACATGTTTCAAGGAGACGGTCGTACCTAAACAAAATCAAAACACAAGGGTTCTGTCGTGATTAACAGGAAACGGAGGCAAGACTCACTTACATTCTATTCAGCTTTTCAAGTAACATAAACAGTTGGGCTTCTGAAAGTCTGTCCAACTAGAGAGATGACGACTTTGGAAGAGATGACCTTTTGTAACAATTATGACTTAAAAACATCAAAGCAAGAATAGAAGAAAGGAAAAGAAAAAAACAATGACAGAGAAAGAGAGCTGCAGAAAGCCATGTATAAATGAACTCATCCCTCCTTATGCTGAAAAGCCATTTTGAGGAGGTCCAAACTGTCTTTTCAGGAAGCTGTATTAGATTCAAAGTCTGCAGTAAACTATTACGAGAGAGGATCAAAGCACAACTCTGCATATGTTTATACTGTACAGCATCCTCCCACGCTGCTTCTGGCTGAGTTCACTTCAGCAGACAGAAATACAGAAAGGACTTCTAGAGCCCCAAGGTCGTGCTGCCTACGCTTTCAGTCCCCAGCATCTGGCAGCATGGCATTTACCCAGCATTCTTGGCTACAGCTAAGAGATCATTTAAAGTTCATTTCAAAATTGCTAAGTACCTTCAACCAAGCTGGTTACCAAGGGCTCTCCCTGTCAAAAGAAAACGTTCTCAACAGTGGTGGCTTGTGCCATGCATATAAAGGGAAACATCTAGATGCTGAAAATTAGTTTCTTATAAGGCCAAACATATTTGAGGCTTCAGAAAGGGCCTGAATGCCAACTGAAACAATTAAATTCACTATTTCCCCACAAACATGGAGTCTATTCCCCGCAAGAAAAAAAGAAGTGTCCTAAGAGTCTCAGACAGAACAGTTATGAAACAGTTGTTTCACTTGCTAGAAAACAGACTCTACATTTTTATTGACGCTCCTGATGACTCCTACATATGCCTACAAAAGGATTTCAACACTTTTTAATGTCACTAGGGTTATTTGAATAAAAAGGGAGGGCAGAGCTGTCCACCTTTTAATTACTTCAAGCTGGTTTTGACATAGACAGTACAGTACCAACACAAGATAAGGAACTCAATAACGTTATCTTACAGGATTCTCATGTTGAAGAATTTTTTTTTCAAACAGTTAAACACCTAGGAAGAAAATGCATTTTTGCAGTAAAAAAAAAAGGAAAAAAAAATCTGACAGCATGAGAATGCTTGAGGAAATGAATTAACACTCATCACCTAATAACCAACAACCAAGAAGAGAAACTAATCTGGAGTCTTCAAACTACGCCCAGCGGTGCAGCTCACCTGTCAGCCATTTCCTTCCACTTCATGAGCATCCTCCTGGGCTGCCTCTCGATGGGAAGGTCAAGCCTGTGTCTGAAATAGTCAACAACCCCCTGCTCCTCTAACAACAGAGGAACCCGGTAGATAGAAGAGACATCATGAACGCAGATGACCTGTTCATAAAATATGAACGTCATTAAAAGAGATCTAAGTGCCCGTGCAATTATTTTTAGACAGATATTCAGAGAGCTGCTGTCTCTAGCAGACAACCGTATGACCACCTATACTTCCAGGAAATAACATCTGTTGAATAACATGACAACATATGAATAGCTTAGCACATGTTTTCACATACTTGCAAAGGTCGTCCTTCAACACGTCGCAGGTATTAACCGCTCACTGGAGCTCAAGGAAGGGCTATAACACAATAACCTAGCAGTGAGAAAGTCAGCTGCTACGCAAGTCATGCGAGCGCATAGCAAAGTTCAGAGAACCCTTCCAAGAGACTTCTCCTGTGATACAGCCTTCTTGGTAATCCTAACTGAAACTACAGTTAAACTGCCCAGGAGCCCAGCTTCCGTTTCCCACCATTGTCGTTCTTAACCAGGGCTCCCAGTTTGATTAAAGCCCAGGGAAATCTGTGGTCTCAGTACAGCCATAAATTTTACAGGGCGTCCTTCATCAAACTTAGGATTAAACAACTATCAGCCACGAATTCCTTGGTCAATGAGGAATATCTGTGTCAACGGTTCTAGTTCACCGAAATGGGCTTCCTCAGAAAGGGAAAGACGGCTCTGGACAACTGTCACCTGTCCGTCAAGAATGGGACTGTACTTTAAGGATCAAAAATATACTGGCACAACTATTTTTAAATCCTCATTTCTCCTGACTCCAATGAAAGCAGAGTTCAACACTGCACCAGCAAAACCCCCTAGGCTGCAAATTTTCCTCCTTTATAGTCGATCGCATTTACTTCTCCATTGAAGTGCAACTGCAGTCAAGAGAAACAACTATATAAAACTGCATTAAACTTCCTGGAAAGTGACTGACGAGAGCCAACTTACTTTCAATTACTGGCCAACAAGAAGTAGATATTGCACTGCTGACACATCAGTATTACTGCCAGCTAATTCTGAATGTAATCCTTGAAACTGCAAGACTTGGTTTGATCTCGCTGTATAGGAAATTAATTAAAATGACTTGACAGAGTCTGGAACTGTGAAGTGATACTCAGTCTTTCACAAAAAGACAAAATTTTTCAAGCTCCAGCTGGACTGGAAAGCGGTAATATTTAGGCTACAGACTGTTTGATTATTTTCCAAGGTATGGAATGCTATGCAGAGTAGTCTCAGTATAAAAAGAATCATGCTAACATGGAATTTTTGTATATCACATAACATTCGAGTGAAGTAATGCTTTTCTCAAATACCATTTCAACTTTTCTGTGCAATCTCTCCTCATGCAATCTTGGGCAGAATAATAATATAATGAAAAGAGCAGTGTACAAATACATTCATGTATCCTTTAAACCTTATTTTGGGCAACTACTCTTTGGCCTCTTAAATACTTACAAATCTCATTCTTCTGTATTCACAGAAGGAATGTGGAAGGAAAACTAAGGTCAAAACCAGCTATTCAGAAAATACCTTGGATTCCATAGAATTCGCTAAGCCTATGCTAACTACCTTACAAGAAAACCTGTGTGCTGGCAGAGAAAGGACTATTTTTGCAACGGTTACATGTGTAAGGAATGTAGGTAAGACAAAGCAGCAAATGAATTATGCAGCTAACAAAAGACACAGATAGAACACAAAAAAGCCACCCTCAGATAAAACTCCGCTCAGCATTTGACAAACAGCTAGAATATTTATTGCGAGGAAGTGCAGACAGCAATCTTTACCTGTTCTGGTTCAACATGACAGAACATGGAAATCTTTTCTTTTACTGAGGTATCCAATGGAGTGGAGCACCTGCAAACAATCTAACAGAACAGCAACATCAAGGCTGTGAAGCAAAACAGAAGTACTCAGGCATTCACACAACAAACCTCTCAAAAAGCTGTTTTTATGCAGTCTCCGTGACTTGGGAAAACAACCCAACTCCATTACTTTTACTTCTTTATTACCAATATACAAGAGCTCTCAACCTAAGCATGATTTAGACTAGGATGTTGTTGCAACGTGCCGGTACCGCGCTTTTAAATTCAAAGCCATGCAGCAAACCTTACCAGATCTGGTGAGAGACCAAGACCTCTGAGTTCACGAACACTGTTTTGGGTGGGTTTAGTCTTCTGCTCTCCTGTAGAGCTTGGCTGGCCAGAGAAGAGCAGAAGTTGGTATATCAGATTATGATGATATGTAGCAATGATTCATCAGGCTAATTGGGATTCTCCACCCTATTCATCTTGTAAAAACTTTGACCCGGTTCTTAGACAATTCATGTGAACTTTAAATACCCCTGGACACTATCATTTTAATCTCAAAAGACTGAAAGCAACTGGCAGAAACCAGAGTTCAAGTCTGTACAGTAAGTAGATATGCATTATAGCGAGGGAAGGAGAGAGCAGAGATCCTACAGGTTTTATCCACTGCTCCCTCCAAATACCTGGTATTTTATATTTCTAATTTTCTCCGTACATCACCAGGCCTGGACAGAAGGGGAAAGATGGAAAGAGAAGAGAACAAAGACTGATCTGCACTCCAGTAACTCTATCAAGTTGCTCTGTCAAATCCATTTCTGAGACAAGAAATATTCATGCTCTCTAGTATTGTTAACATAACCATGGAAGAATTTTCTTCAGCAATGACTCCTGCACTAGAGGTTTTTGTTTGGTGAAGACTGTCAACTGCCTTCAAAACCAGAGCAGATAATATAATGAAGTTATATCAGGTATTATATGGCATAAAACACCTTCATATGCTTTTGGTATTAACTGGAGTTCACCCCATCTACTTGGCACATAAGGATATTTTGTTTTTCTTTGTGATTCCTAATTAACTCATTCTTATCATAGCACTGCTTCCTAACACTTTTTCTTAGTTGAATCTTGAACCAAGGGCCACTGCCACTCAGATTGTTATGGCTTACGTGGCAGTCAGATGTGAGAGTCTATGAAATTACTGTTAAAGATCAAAACGCACATTAAAAATATTTAAAAAAAGGAAAAAAGGGGGCACACAGCAACAGAAATATTAAAGAACTCCAGGAAGAGCTTGGAATATGATCTTATTAATAAGTCCAAATGGCTGTCAAGTCTGGCTACACCACTGAATTTTATATCAGCTTTGCAGAAATGAAAGGCTATGCAAATGAAGGGAAACTGAAAGTTTTCAGCCCTAGAAAGCAAGTTTACCTGCAACAGCTAAGAGACAAATCCATAGAGAAAAACAGCAGTTAAAGATGCAAAACTGCATTTGCTACAACTCCCAACTATTTATTACACATTTACAAACTTTGAGAAGTTTCTGTTCACTTCTTGCAAACCTTTCTGAATACATAACCATATACTCTCCGCATTTCTTCCAGAAGTTTATACAGAGAAAAATACAAATATAACAGTGCCTACAGATAGAGCATTTCAGAAACACATATTTAGAAAGCAAGTTTTAGACTGGGGAAGTCCCTGACCACCAAAACATTTTGCGTCCTTACCTGGGGAACTAGACTGACATGAATGTTACAAAAATTCTCTCTTTTGGCTTTGAACTGGAACTGGCGGAAGGCTTCAATGAAAGGCATGCTTTCAATATCGCCTACCGTCCCACCAAGCTAAAAAAGACAAAGACATTTAGAATTAAAGTTAGTACCAAAACATCATCTACTGAATTTGTACGCTGAAGCATGCTAAAACATACATAAAAGGACACTAAAACATCTCCCCCGCACCTCCCTCCGATTCCCTAAAGAAGCGTCAACACCAATATGAAAAGCAGGATTTGCCAGTTGTATCTACCAGTTCCACAGCCTCCAGTCTACCCCAACTATTATTTTACCTTCATGATTTCCCCAAAAATCAAAAAGCCACAAGAAAAACAGCTTCTCATATGGGTAGCACCTCTCCAGGGATGTTAGCTTTGCCTCTATTCTCTCTTCAGGGAAAAGACTGAGGTGTTAAAATTATCATTTACAAACATTAGGTGGCACCGAGAAGCAAAATTTCTGCTAAGTTTTAGTAACTATATAGAGTGGGTTTGGAGACATGCAGGAACAGAGGCACAAGGCATCCCTTGGAGCACTGACAGCCTCCCATGCACTGTCAGTGCCTCCCAGGTACTCCGGGATCCAGGCTCGCAAATCCTGGAACAGAAATTGGCATTCAAGCTGCAGGGAGAGTTCGAAGTCACCATGACCCAGGCACTCTGACAAGCTCCCTCTCTCCTGTATAGACATAACCTGCCAGCCAACTCAGCAGCAGCATCCCAGAGCCTTTGCCCTGCTCCGTCTCCTCTAGCAGCAGGACGCCCCATACGATGCACAGGAAACTGAACGGGGTTTGTCACCGTCACCTCGTGCCATTCACTTTTCTCGCTCTACGCTTGAACTGAGCTGCAAGGATCCCTTTACTGCTACGGAGGGAAGACAACTGCTTCCAGAGGACGATTTACCTACCCCTCCCTCTTTCCACCAAAGAAGAAGAGGGCACAGTGTGATTAACTCAGACTTTGGCATATAAAGTTACAAGAGCTAAAATTCATTCTCTAGACTAATTCACATTACCCTAGAGAGCAAAGCATCTCAAAAATACAACTCTCCAAAACCTAAGTCTTTCTATGTGTGGATTCAGACACAGAGCATTCAAAAGATTAGACTTAAGTGAGGCTAGCAAGGGGGATTTTTAACCAACTCAACAACGTGCGAAGCTGAACATTACTGTAAAAAAATTGTGCTATGCAAAATACACATATAGTTCAGTTTATTTCACTCAAGAAGCAAAACTGTTTTTTTTTTTTTTTAAGAGCTACAAACCTCAATCACACAAACTTGGGGTTCAATGCCATCTTCATCTACAGGAATTCGTGCCTGCCTCATTACCCACTCTTGTATAGCATCTGTGATGTGGGGAACAACTGAAAAAGAAACCCAGGCGAGGGTTAAAGCCGCAATCCATGCATATTTCTCCCTCTAACTCATTACAGAGCAAATTATTGCAACTAACTAGCCAGTGCTTCCTGTATCACTTCAGCGCTGATTTGTGTCTTTAAAAGAAGTATGCATTTTTGAAGTGATTATTCTTGGCTGTGATTTTCAAGAGAAGTGCCCTGGCAGGAAACGCAATCCTGCCTTAATTTAAACACATGTAAGCAACGTTTCCTTTAAGCTGTAAGATTCAAGTACAAACAGTTCTTTGCTCTAAGCAGAGAGAGTTACTCTGTCTTAAACTGTCTGTAAAAGTCCTTATCCAAACCAGCTGTAGAGGATGTTTAAAAAGGGAAGGGACTGAACCCTCCAAGATCCTTTGGGATCTAATGACATGACAGTTATCGAAAGCAATAACCATTTTAACCAGCTAACAAATAATCCACAGGTGTGTTAGTCTGAAGTCTGTTCACACTCAGTATTGGCTACGTTAGGCAGTCGGACCCAAGTCCAGCACAGAGTCCCAACAACAGGCAGCATATTGCCGAGCACTGGAAAGCTTTGAGGGGCTTACAGGTAACCTGATTCAGTATGGCACGCACCACTACACCTGCACTGGTGCGTCTTCTACTTCCCCTTTTAAAACACAAACAAAAAAACATCACGAGGACAGCATATAACAAAGACCTCAACCTAGGATGAGATGCAAAAGCACCCAACCAGGACAGAAATACAGAATATATTTCTAAGCATCAGAAACGAAGCTTCACGTCACCTTGGACGGTTTTGCCAAGGTAGTCTCCCTTCCTCTCCTTGTTGATGACATACTGATAGATCTTCCCAGTAGTCAGGTTGTTGTCTTTGGTGAGTCGGATGTCGAGGAAGCGCTCGTAGTTACCGAGGTCCAGGTCCACTTCCCCTCCATCATCCAGCACAAACACCTCCCCTGTGGCACACAGAAGCGCAGACGTCAAGGGGAAACGGTCCACATCAGCAATTTGTTGGCTGAAGAATTCAATGTAAGGAAACACCTTCGTTGATTGCTACAGCAAGTTTAGGAGTGGCTAGTGAAACTAAAAGCCTTGTATAACAGACAGGACTGAACCCCTCAGCCAGGCAGCAATGACAGAAGACCAGAGCGCAGATCTCTGCTGTTTGCCCCGCCGCTCAGTCCGGAGCCGCCGCCGGGCTCAGCCCGCGGGTCGCACAGGCAGGAGCGGACACAAACGCCGCCGCCATGCGAAGGAGCTGGCTCCTGCCAGGCCAAGCCAGCCCCGGCACCCAGGCACCCGCCTGGAAGACCCCGGCGCCCAGCTCAGGGGCTGACAGCCGGGCCCCGAGGCGCCACTCACCGTGCTCGTACGGGGAGAAGGTGCCAGCGTCAATGTTGATGTAGGGATCGATCTTGATGGAGGTGACATGCAGCCCGCAGGACTTGAGGATGGTGCCGATGCTGCTGGCGATGATCCCCTTGCCGATGCCCGAGATCACCCCGCCCGTGACCAGGATGTACTTCATCTGCCTCGCTGCCTGACACCGACACCGCCTCAGCCAGGGCTCTGCCGCGGGCGCGCAGGGACAGACCTTCCCCCCGCCATTCCTGTCAGCGACCCCCTCTGCCATCCCCCGTCCCTCCGGGCC